GTGCACATCTTCATCCCTGAAAGAGTGACCGCTGGCCTGGAGATGAGTGTAGACCGCAGAGTCCTGGCCTGATGATGTTGATCTTCTGTGCTGGGCCATCCTTTTGGCCTTTTGGCAAAGGAGGCCATCTTCGTGAAAAGAAATCGTCCATCGTTAAACAGGGGTGGAGGCCTACATGTTCAATTGTCCTCCTCTTACAATGCTGTGATTGCTAGTATCACTCAGCCCTCTGTGAATAGTAAACAGCCATCAGTGTGCTAATGATCCATTGATAGGCTGATGGTCCTTATTGACAATGTGAGCAGCTGGTTTTGGTTGTCAGCAGCAAAACTGGTTGATCCACTCTGAGAAGGTGCTATTTAAGAGACTGAGCTGAATACAGCACCTCAGACTGAGGAAGTCTCTCGGATGAGAGACGAAACGTTTCTACATTTTTTGTTGTTTTGCTTTGTTTTGTTTTTTTGAATGTCCAGAGGAGCAGATTTAACTTTTTTAGATTTTTCTACCTGGATTATTGAGCATGCATCAGGATATTTTGAACCACTTTGGCCAGGATTGCCTCAAACTAGTTAGAGAGTTTGAGAAAACAGCAAGGAAGAGGGCAGACTACAGGAACCATTTGTGATTCAACCTCAGATGTCGACAAAGTGGCATCATTCCCAAGAGCCTGGAACTAAAATCTTCGGTCAGCGGGCACCGGGCAAGCAAGATCCTTCAGAAGGCACAGACACAGCTGCTGAATGAACGGGTGAGACAGACCAATTTTACTATTGAGGCCTTGAAGGCCAAGGAAGAGTGCATTAAACAAAAACTAACAACGTGTCTAGATCAGACCACACTTCAGCAAGTGATGGACTGTACAGATCAGGCACGCTTAGCACAGCATGTCAAGTCCAAGACTCGACAACAAAACAAGTTTAACGTACTAATAGCTCATCAACACCATCACTATTCCAATAACAACACATTCAGTGTAGGACAACACTCCAGTAGTCAATTACATGCCAGGGAGACAGAAAAGTGGGTGAAGAATTTATCTGACAGACAGCTCACCCAGCCGGAGACAGAGATTCTTGCCAGGGGACTGAACTTTGCGGTTGCTCTAAGTAGAATTCCTCTGGTGGAGATGATCACAGCTACTGAGTCAGCCATCCGCAACAACAAAATTAAAGAGGCTGAAGCAGAACAGCTCAGAATCAAAGTTTCATCCTGCCTCAGCAATGCCAAACCACCACCTTCCAACATCAGTAGAGAGGAGAGGGACACACTCACCACTCTTAGCAAGGACAAAAACATCATCATTCTCCCAGCAGACAAAGGAAGGTGCACAGTGATTTTGAACCAGAAAGACTATCATGAGAAAGTTGTGACACTCCTTAGTGACTTAACCACTTATGAACCTCTGAAAAGAGATCCAGGAAGTGGTTACAAGCAGAAATTGATAGATTGCCTGAAAATTTTGGAGCAGGATTTGCAGGATCTGTACCACAGACTGTACCCAGGGGAGGCCACACCTAGTCTGTATGGTTTACCTAAAATCCACAAACAAGGTGTACCTTTAAGACCTATTGTTAGCATGATTAACTCTGTCACTTACAATGTTTCCAAATATCTGGCGTCTGTACTCATCCCTTTAGTTGGCAGCTCAGAACACCACATACAGAACACCATGGACTTTGTGGATAAGGTGAGGGATGTCATCATGGAGACTGATGAAACAATGGTCTCTTTTGATGTCACATCACTCTTTACGTGCATTCCTGTTGATGATGCAGTAGAGGTGGTCAGTTTAAAATTAAAATCAGACACCACTCTGAGCAGCAGGACCACACTTTCTACAGAACAACTGTGTCAACTCTTGAAACGATGCCTGCAGTCAACCTACTTCACATATGGGGAGCAATATTATAGGCAGAAACATGGGTGTGCTATGGGGTCTCCAGTTTCTCCTATTGTTGCCAACCTGTACATGGAGGAGGTAGAAAAGAGAGCCTTGACGTCCTTTTCAGGGACACCACCAAGTCATTGGTTCAAGTATGTTGACGACACCTGGGTTAAAATTAAATCTCAGGAAGTTCAACATTTTACTGACCACATCAACTCAGTGGATAAATACATCAAGTTCACACGAGAAGATGAAAAAGAATGGCAAGTTGGCTTTCTTGGACTGTGAGGTCTCAGTCTCTGATAGAGGACATTTGCAAACTGAGGTGTACTGCAAACCCACCCACACAGACCAGTATTTGCAGTTTGACTCCCATCACCCTTTGGAGCACAAGTCAGGAGTCATCAGGACTCTGTACCACAGAGCAGACAGCGTCCCCACTAGCTCAGGAGCCAGGCAGAAGGAGAAATCCCACACAAGACAGGCTCTAGAGCAATGTGGATATCCTAACTGGGCCTTCCTGAAAGCAGAGAAGAAACCCAAACAGGACTCCAGTCAGCCAACAGGTGAAAAGGAGGAACCCAGACCAGTGGTCATTCCATATGTTGAGGGAGTATCAGAGAAACTGAGACGTTTATTTTCTAAACATAACGTCCCAGTGGCTTTTAAACCCCAAAATACATTACGGCAAAGACTGGTTCATCCCAAAGATCCAGTCCCCCGGCACAAACAGAGCAATGTTGTGTATGCTGTTCAGTGTCATGAGGGTGATCAGTCTTACATCAGGGAAACTAAACAGCCACTGGCCAAAAGGATGGCCCAGCACAGAAGATCAACATCATCAGGCCAGGACTCTGCGGTCTACACTCATCTCCAGGCCAGCGGTCACTCTTTCAGGGATGAAGATGTGCACATCCTGGATAGAGAGGAACAATGGTTTGAGAAAGGAGTAAAGGAGGCCATCTTTGTGAAAAGAAACCGTCCATCATTAAACAGGGGTGGAGGCCTCCGGGTTCAACTGTCCCCCTCTTACAATGCTGTGATTGCTAGTATCACTCAGCCCTCTGTGAATAGTAAACAGCCATCAGTGTGCTAATGATCCATTGTTAGGCTGATGGTCCTTCTTGAGCATGTGATCAGCTGGTTTTGGTTGTCAGCAGCAAACTGGTTGATCCACTCTGAGAAGGTGCTATTTAAGAGACTGAGCTGAAAACAGCACCTCAGACTGAAGAAGTCTCTCGGATGAGAGACGAAACGTTTCTACATTTTGTTGTTGTTTTGCTTTGTTTTGTTTTTGTTTTAATGTCCAGAGGACCAGATTTAACTTTTTTAGATAATGTTTATAACCATCTGTATACTGATTCATGTCAGTATGAAGAAATATTTAATGCATCAGTCAAAAATTGCGTCATGAATAGGGAAGAAAAACGTATAAGTTGCTTAGGATTATAGGTCGCAGGACTGGCCAAACTATGGTAAATGGACTGTACTTATATAGCGCCTTTCTTTCTTATTTCAAGACACTCAAAGCGCTTCACACTACAATCTGTGTCCTCATTTACCCATTCATACAGCACTCTACTAGATCTCTACAAAGCTAATTGAACAAATAATTCTAAAGGGACTAATCAGTGCTTTATCACATTCATACACTGATGGGACACACATCGGAGGCAATGAGGGGTTCAGTGTCTTGCCCTGGGACACTTTGGCATGTGACTGCTGGTGGATTTGAACCCCCAACTCTTGCAATGGAGGACGACTGCTCTAACTACTCAGACACAGACGCCCTATGAAATAAAGGAACTACGTATAGCCCGAAAAATACGATAAACGCTTAATTTAGAGGAAAACTTTGCAAAGGCAAAAAGCAATTGATTCTAGAAAACAAACTACCATAATTGCCAGTCTATAGAGAGCACCTGAATATAAGCTACGCACTCTAAATAATAATTATTTTTTTTTATTAAAAAATTTTGGTACTTAAATAAGCCGCGAGTGTTTACGTTGTAACATGAGTGGCAGTACACAGCTACTGAAAGAGATGTACAGCGCTTGTTGTAGATCAAGAATCAACCATCAGATGGAGTTTTATAGACTTTACTGTTCAACACGCACAGACAGAGTGAACCCAACAGGTCTTCACGACAACTACCTCCCTTACTCATGGCTACTCTACTGAATGGCATAACACAAACTAATACATAATGAACAAATAAACTAAGCTAACAAGAACTGAATAATCATTAAAAGAGCAATGTTAAACAGTTAAGTGAAATGATTAACAATGAACATAATTTTTACCCATAATCCCTCCCTGACGCCATGTGACCGACAGTCAACCACAATGAACCAATGAAGTAGTCTCATTGAGTCACGAGGACCCACCCTGCGTTGATGAGACTACCTGTTTAAATAAAGGTTAGAAAAAAATCTGACCAATGAAATTACAGAAGAGGAGGAAGAGATTGCTTGCCTTTTGGCAAAAAAAACAAACAAAAGAAAAGGCCATTAAACCAAATCAGGGATGAAGAAGGGAAATTTAATACATTGGTGTCATATACAAAACAGTCTGTCGCCGGGCAGTTTATTGTGCGACACAGAGTATGTGTACGCGGTCGTAAAAATTGAGTTTTGCACGGACATGCCCTGCGGGCGTCCGCTTCGACTTCGAATCCGGTATGCGCGGACCTCCACGGACTGACATACACCCGAGTATACTGGAGCCTTAAGAGAGACGTGTTTAGTGCAGCTCTGTGAGCGGCCGGGTGTAACGAAGCTAAATGTTTTTGGTGGCAGGAAGCTCGTTAGTCCGTCAAAAAAAAATCCATAAATTATCTGCAGCATTGTATAAGCCACGTGGTTCAAAGCCTGTGAAAAAAGTAATGGCTTATAGAACAAAAAGTATAGTAGGTCTGTCTGTTTGTAACACGCTATTATCTTGTGAAATATTTCCTGAGAGCTGAACTACTACATACATACTAAAACAACTTATTCAAACTGCTGTGTTTGTGATGTATGCAGACTGTGCAGCAGAACAACAGACACCTGCTGAGTTCTGAAGAGTGCAGACTGCTCCTTAACTTGTGACAGGACAGGATGGAGTAAAGTTTACCTGATCGATCCCCCCAGGGGCAAACATGATGGCCGCCAGAGCCAGCAGGCTGTGTCCCTCTAACAGCAAGCTGCTCAGAGAGGCCTGGCTCCCAGGTAATAGCACCTGAGCACTGGTTAGAATGGCTTGGAAAACCAGTTCAGGATCTGAAACCACAAGGACCAAGAATCAGTAAGACTGAAGGCAATGAAGGTTCAGTATCATGTCCAACACGAGACAAAACAACACTCACTACTGACAGAAACACACAACCAACTGGATCTAACATGGTTCAGTCAGGTCCTCTGGACAGATTCTTCTTCTTCTTCTTCTTGAAGAATCCGTGCAGAGGACTTGACCATGCTAGATTTATCAACCTGGACTACTGAGCATGAATCAGGACACAACTAACTTTAAACTGTCAAACGTAAGAAAAAAGAAAAATATACTTAAGTTATCCAACAAAGACTGGGTGTGACTTTATAAGACTGAGTTTGTTGTGGCTCCTCGGACTGAGGAAGTCTTTGGGATAAAAGATGAAACATTTCAACAAAAAGAAACCGTCAAGAGAACCTGACTTAACCTTGTTGGATTTTTCTACCTGGAATATTGAGCATGAATCAGGATGTACTGAAGTTCTTGTCAGAACTTAACTTGCCGGTTAAAATCTCTTCTCATGTCCTCGAGTGTGGCTTCTTTGAGTAAGTAAGATGAATAGAGGATATTTTTATCTAACATTTTGGTCCTTCGAGTGCTGACCCCAACATCTGACCTTGAACCCACAGGCTTGAATCTGAACTGTGCACGAGGGGAGATTTAATCTCTTTAACTCCAAGTCCTCAGGCTGGGATTGCCAAATTTTACAGAGGCCAGATTTGCTGTTTGTTCAGGGGAGGTGACAGGTGTCGAACGGAGTGAAGCCGCCCATAGGAGGTGAGAAGATTATGGGTTTTTTTCTGTGGGATGTGGCATCCAAGCATTGTTTTGTTTTTGTACATCTTCTCAGCTCTCACAGGCAGAGGTAGGCCCTGATGACCTCGGCCTCATCCAGCTGCACATGCAGGATCAAGAACTGTTGAAGTTCTTGTCTAACGGTTCTGTTAAAGTTTTAGGCAGAAGTCAGGTGCAATGAGTAGCATGAGGAGTATGTAAATCTACAGTCACACCTAACTTTATCCCAACCTCTGAGTGAAAAAGAGCAATTTAAGTGTTTTCTAAGGTCAGCTTCCTGTGACGATGACAGAAGGAGTCACTGGACTCTCTGAGGTGTCCTGTTGAGTGCTAACCTGTTCACAGCTCAGTGTTGGGCCCTCCAGGTACAATGATCGATGGTGTTACATCTTACTGATAAAACTTGTATCAAATGAGCCTTCTCTGACAATCTGGAACAGAGTGTGCTGTTTGGGCCTCGGCTATCTTGAACTGAACTGGCTCCAACAGGTTGTACAGGACTGTACTTATACAGCTCCTTTCTATATTATCAAGATTTGTGTAGATACTCAAAGCTCTTTGCAACAATCTGTGCCTCATCTACCCATTCATACAGCTCTATACTAGATCTCTACAAAGGTTAATCAGAGCTTTATCACATTCATACACCGATGGGACACACATCAGAGGCAATGAGGGGTTCAGTGTCTTTCCCAAGGACACTTCAGCATGTGACTGCTGGTGGAATTGAACCCCCAGCTCGCACATTGGAGGACGACTGCTCTAACCACTCCGCCACAGCCGCCATCTATTAGGTACATCTGACATATTTTGCCAATTGACAGACTGAGTGGAATCTAAAACTTTAACTGCAAAATGAAAAAAAATAAATAAATCTTGTGCATTGTTTTTTATTGCTCAGAATATGTGTTGGGTTCAGTCTCAAATACTACCACACCCACAATTTAGATCAATATCTTTAGAATTAGCTGAGTTATAGCAGAGTTATTGTGTTTTTAAGATTAGTTGTATTTGGCAGCCATGTTGAATTGGGTTGACCTGAAAAGATAATAATGTGTAGATGCACATAAAGACTTGTAAAAAGATCCAAATTGAGAACCAGAACACATATGGTTGACAGTACCTGAAAGGTTTCTGGTTATCTCCTGGACCTTAACCAACATCTCAAACCACGGCTGGGTCTTAAACAGGTTCTGATCAGTCAGCGGGGAGCAGTATCTGGGTGTGAGTCTGCGTGGAGGAGAACCAGAATTCAGAAGTCAGGAACATGCAGTTTAGAAATAACCAGAGAAACTGCACTTTACTCTGATGTGTAGTTAAGAAATGCAATCTGAATGACTGCAGAGTGTACAACATAAAACAATCAAAATGCTAGGTAAAAACAAAAAGTAGGTAAAAGCTTGTTTGTGTGACATACAGTTTGTGATACTGAATAAATAAATAAAAATTAAACCTGATGTCTTCATTTTCAACTTTAACAACATGCAATGTTTCACATCATCAACAGTTTCAGTCACATAACTTGAATTACATAATGTCCAGATAGCTTCATTACATCTCCCACCACTAACAGAAATACTGTTTATTATTTCCTGATGCATGCTCAATAATCCAGGTAGAAAAATCTAAAAAAGTTAAATCTGGTCCTCTGGACATTCAAAAAAAAAAAAAAAACTCAAAGCAAAACAACCATAAAAATGTAGAAACGTTTCGTCTTTCATCTGAAAGACTTACCATGCCATACCATTTTATTTATAAAGCACTTAAAACAGCTACAAGGCCAACCAAAGTGCTGTACAGACAGAACAACAGGTAACACACCAAGCAAAATACAAAATGAAGTAAATCAGAATATAGACGTAAAAACGATGCAGCTAATGACGACAAACCAGTGTGGAGCATACAGGATCAAACACAGATCATCTGGTGTTGAAAGCTACTGAATAGTAGTGAGTTTTTAAACGTGACTTGAAAACCGAGAGGGAGGGGCCTGTCTGACAAGCAGAGGTAACTCGTTCCAGAGTCTTGGTCCTGCTACAGAGAAGGCCCTGTCACCTCTGTGCTTAAGATGAGTTCCTGGAACTGTGAGGAGCAACTGGTCCACTGACCTCAGGGAGCGTGGTGGGACATACGGTTGTAGCAAATCAGAGAGATGGGGGGTGACACTGTTCAGTGATTTGTAGACATACATGAGTATTTTGAACTGGATTCGAAAGTGAACCGGTAACCAGTGCAGTGAGGCCAAAACTGGTGTAATGTATGTTAAGATATGTATGCTCTCATTTGTACTTTTATTTTGTATTTTATTTTGAAAGAGCACTTCCTGTGCTTCCTGTATGGAGCGTATATAATCTCGCGAGTTTTAATAAAATGGTCTCTCTTCTTCTCTTGACGAAACCTGAGCTGACGTCGTGTGCATTTATTCCTCCATCAATTATACCGGTATTTTTCATGTTAGCACGCATATTTTCCTGGAAACTACATCTCTGCTAACAGGTTATGGGCCCAGACAACTAACCAGCAAATGGAGAACCCAGCACTTGATGAACCAGGAAGTACAGAAGAAAATGTTTGCCACCAGAAAAGTCGCGGAGTACAGCGTGTTTGGTGAGGACTAGCTTGCTAAATATAGCAGCATGAGTAAGCGTGCAGTGGAGCCGAGTAACCGATGGGCAAGGCTAATTTTCGATGGAGATGAGAACCACTATGAGTTGTGGGAAGTAAAGTTTTTGGGACACCTCAAACTACAAGGTTTGAAGGACACGATATTGGACAGAAGTCAAGATGACGATGACGATGAAGAGAACAATGCCCAGGCCTATGCAGAATTAATACAGTTCCTGGATGATAAAAGCCGGTGATGAGAGAAGCTGCCGACGATGGACGTGGAGCACTAAAGATTTTGAGAGACTACTACGCAGGAAAAGGTAAACCGAGAATTATCAGCCTTTATACTGAACTGACTTCTCTAAAGAAAACGAGCAGTGAAAGTGTGACGGAGTACGTCATACGTGCAGAGACACTAATTACAGCCCTGAGAGATGCTGGTGAGACACTTGGTGACGGTCTGCTTGTTGCAATGGTCTTGAAAGGCTTACCAGAGACATTTAAACCTTTTTCGGTTCACATTACACAAAGTGAATCAGAAGTAAAGTTTGCAGAGTTTAAAACAAAACTTCGCAGTTATGAGGACACTGAGAAATTAAACATGATGGAGCAAAAAGATGACGTCATGAAGGCGAGAGTGCAGCCAAAGGTCAGACCCAAAACACCTGCTAGTGATCAAAGGAGAGACACCGCAGATGTTACCTGTTTTAAGTGTGGCCAGAGAGGACACAAGGCCAGAGCATGACACTACAACCAGTGGTGTAATCGCTGTAGGAGCAGCACACACCGAGACTCGACCTGCAGGAGGCGGCAGTTGAATGATGAAGCTCACACAACCTCTGAGGACAACAGTAACATGGAGAGTGGAGACACCTATGTATTCCTGACGAGAGAGGACGGTGCACGACTTCAACAGCAACAAGACCTCAAAACTACAGGCATGATGGTGGATACGGGCGCAACATCCCACATCCTAAAAGATAAAACTGTGTTTAAGAAGTTTGATGACAGTTTCCAGCCAGGAACACACTGTGTGGAGTTGGCTGACGGTACCAGATGTAAAGGAGTAGCTGAAGGCAGAGGAGACGCTGAGGTGTATCTGATGGACAGCAGGGGGCAACATTGTAAGACATTGCTGAAAGAGGCTCTCTATATCCCCACATTCCCACAGAACATCTTTTCAGTGAGAGCTGCCACCACAAGAGGGGCTACGATCATCTTTAAGAGAGGAAGAAATGTTTTCCAACACAGAGACGGTACAAAGTTCTATATCCATGAGCACAACAGACTGTACTACCTTGAAACTGTAAGTAAGTCTGACAAGTGTAATAGTTGTTTTGATGCACAAACATGGCATGAAATTTTGGGACATTGCAATTATAGTGACGTTTTGAAGTTAGAAAAGGTAGTAGATGGTATGAAAATCAAGGGTAAAACAGACACGCAAAGTTTAAACTGTCTCCAGGTTATTTTTGGACAATATGGGCTTCAGTTTAGACAGCCGCCTCAGTTGGAAGAAACATGATTTAACAATCATGTTTACATGATTGTTAAATCATGTAAACATGATTGTTAAGCTTCAGGGAAGGGTCCATTATCACGCCCAGACTCAGACTTTCTCAGTCTGAGGTGGTGTTTTCAGCTCAGTCTTATAAATAGCACCTTCTCAGAGTGGATCAACCAGTTTGCTGCTGACAACCAAAACCAGCTGCTCACATGCTCAAGAAGGACCATCAGCCTAACAATGGATCATTAGCACACTGATGGCTGTTTACTGTTCACAGAGGGCTGAGTGATACTAGCAATCACAGCATTGTAAGAGGGGGGCAGTTGAACCCGGAGGCCTCCACCCTGTTTAATGATGGACGGTTTCTTTTCACAAAGATGGCCTCCTTT